CACTTTTGGAATCTCTCTTTGCTACTTTTGGAATTTCTCTGTGACACTTTTGGAATCTCTCTTTGCTTCACGATTCCTCTGGGATGGTCTCTTAGGTCAGGAACTCGTAGGCAAAATTTTAGGTGAAGGGATAAACCTTACAAAAACGTTATGGACAGATGTTCTCTGCTTTCAAGGTCAGGGTTTGATTCCAAACCAAACTGAAAGTTTCTTGTTATGGCAAAAAATTCATTTGGATATTGGGTTGTCTCCTACTGTTGTGTCCGTGATGAATTCAATGTTCATTCCTATTCCCCATTTAGTTAAATGGGTGACTGGAAATTATTTGGAAAGTTTAAATCTTCCTGGTTAGCAGGGAAATGTTGAGCTTAGAGGCAAATCTGCCATTAGATAGAGTTTATTCTATTACAAATCTCCCAAAATATTTTTAATTCACGATAAATGGCATGAACTCCCAGAGATCAGGCGCTGGCTTGGAGTAGGACATGGGGAGGAATTGAGAGTTGTTTAAAATGCTCTGTATGAGATTTACTAAAGATTAAAAGAGCTCACGGAGGGAATTTAAGGAGCGGAAAGGTGAAATTCTGGGTTTTTCCAAGTTAATGAGGGCAAGTGTTTCGGTGCGAGAATTTCTCAGAGTTCAGAGCCCAAAAATCAAAATGCCGGGGCCTTAAGCTCGTTGTAGGGATCTCAAAACCCTGATTCAAAGTTTGGAAATTTGGGACGATCATCTTGGCAATTCCCTTGCAATGGTCTCATCCAAGGAGTGKATCTGAGCAGACAAAGAGCTCTAATCCCTGTTTTGGCAAGGATCAGCACAAAGGAGWTCAGTGGGAATGAGGAGCCGAGTCATGAGATCCTGAATAACAACGCTTGGCTCTTGGAGCAGATTCCCACTCCTTGATCCCATGACTCACCAAAGCACCAAAGCAAATAATTTTGGCTGAGCTTATTCCTGACCATTTTGGCTGTTCTTACTCCATTTTCACCTTTAGTAGACGTGGGGAAATTCAGTGGTTCAAAGAGCTCCCGTCTGGGGAAAGGCAACCAGCTCCAGAGCCCTTTTTCATCAGTAAATAACTCCTGGTCCTTGCTC